CTGGCGGCTGCGTTCTTCTTGTACAACACGCCCTGTCGTAAGCAGAAGGATGACAATCCGCGAGTTATATGCTGGGGCAGTGATACGTTGCGGCCCTCTAGATGTTCAATGATAGGTCGCAATTGAGCATCTGCTCGCTGCCGTAAAGCCAAGTCTGTTACGCTTACGGAGCCAAGGAAAGGGCAGTCCTCTTCGAAGCTCTGAGCGGCAGGCTCAACTGGCGCGCGTGACAACGTGTCCGCATCTTCGTGTGCACGACCGGACTTGTACACGATAGTGACGTCGTACTCCTGCAGACGTAGGCTCCACCTTGCCAGTCGTCCGGAGGGGTCTCTGAGGTTCGCAAGCCAGCACAGCGAGTGATGATCCGTCACTACTCTGAATGGACGGCCGTAAAGGTAAGGTCGAAACTTAGCAATTGCCCACACGACAGCAAGGCACTCCTTCTCCGTGGTACTGTAGTTTGACTCCGGGCGTGTTAGGGTTCGGCTTGCGTAGGCGATAACCTTTTCAATTCCCTCCTGCCGTTGGACGAGTACCGCGCCCAGACCGACGTTACTGGCGTCGGTATGAATTTCTGTTTCGGCTTCCTCGTCGAAATGTCCAAGAACAGGTGGTGATGCCAGGCGAAGCCGAAGCTCTGTGAATGCTGATTCTTGTTCAGCACTCCAAACGAACGGCGTATCGTCTCTAGTGAGTCTAGTTAATGGTTCGGCAATTTTCGAAAAATTGCCTATAAAGCGCCGGTAGTACGCGCATAGACCAAGAAACCGCCGCACACTTTTCTTATCGGCAGGAGTCGGGAAGGCTGCGACAGCGGCGGTTTTCTCAGGGTCAGGACGGACGCCTTCTGCGCTTACGACATGTCCAAGGAACTTTAGTTCTTCGTAACCGAAATGGCATTTTTGCGGCTTTAACGTAAGGTTAGCCGTCCGAATCGCCTCAAGTACTTGTCGTAGTCGCTTCAGATGTTCGGAGAAGCTGGTTGAAAACACGACCACATCATCCAAGTACACAAGGCAGCTTTGCCATTTTAAGTCAGTCAACACAGTGTCCATCATGCGTTGGAAGGTAGCTGGCGCAGAGCAGAGTCCGAACGGTAGCACCCGAAATTCGTAGAGGCCATCCGGCGTGACAAAGGCGGTTTTTTCGCGGTCGCGCTCATCAACCTCAATTTGCCAGTAGCCACTCTTTAAATCCAGGGAAGAAAAATACTTCGCTCGTCGTAGTCGGTCAAGCGAGTCATCAATACGCGGCAGCGGATAAACATCTTTTTTTGTGACGTTGTTGAGCTTTCTGTAATCTACACAGAAGCGAAGCGTACCGTCCTTCTTCTTAACCAGAACGACCGGTGAGGACCAGGGACTGTTCGAAGGCTGGATAACGCCGTCGTCGATCATTTCTTTCACTTGCTGCTTGATAGCTGCGCGTTCTGTCGGCGAGACGCGGTATGGCTGTTGGTGAATAGGTCTTGCGTCGTCGTAAGTGATTATCCTGTGTTGTGTAATTGGCGTCTGACTCACTTTAGACGACTGAGCAAAGCACGCCCTGAATTCAAACAATAGCTCTCGCAAGGCCCTCTGGTTCTCTTCTGGCAGTGCACTGTTCATGTCAACATCTATTACGGTTTGTCCATTGCGGCTACTGTCTTCACAGGCAAAACACTCAATGACGTCCTCCAAGGCTTCAGCGTAGGCGACCGCAGTGCCCCGGAAAAGGTGACGATGCTCATTGGTGAAATTTGTAATCATGACCTCGGCTGTACCGTTCCGAATGTCAATGATGCCTCGTGCCACAGAAATTCCAAGCGCCAGCAGCAGGGAGACGTTGCACTCTGCCACTGTTTCACCGTCACTGGTTCCTTCGGAAGTCACCTGAATTAGGATACTTGCACGAGGTGGTATTGTGACACTGTCGTCGGAAACACGGAGGGCGGTTGTACGGCGGTTGGAGTCCCTTGACGTAGCGTTGACTGTCGAAAAGGAAATGCAGCGTCGCCGTAGGTCGATTACGGCGCCATATTCCCGAAGAAAATCGAGGCCGAGAATTAATTCGCGGGAGCAGTCACGTAGCACGATGGAGCTGACCAAAAACGTGCAGCCTCGTATTTGTAGCCTGGACGTGCACAAACCAACCGGCGTTACAACATGTCCGCCAGCTGTACGTACATGCGATCCTGTCCAAGGCATTATCACTTTCTTCAAGGTACGTGCCAATTGTCCGCTAATAATCGAGTAGTCAGCACCAGTGTCTATTAAGGCAGTTAAATTGCGACCGTCGAGCAGCACAGGTATGTCCATTGAAAAGTCGCTCAGCTGGGATACAGGCGCCGGCGTAGTCGAATTTCCGTTGGTCCGATGTCGCGTCGATTGGAGGGCGAGGTCTTCATCACGTCGAGAATCAGCGGCCTCGCCTCGAAAGGTCGCTGGCGTTAGTTTTCCAGGCGAGGGCTCGGAGACCGTCCTTGCGGCCTTCGATTTCCGTTGCCTGAATAAGATGACGACCGCGGTGACGGTGAGCGCGACTGACGCCTGAGTGGGACGTTCTGCCGAGCGATAAAATCTTCAATTTCTGGTGGTCTCTGTCCAAACCGGGGGCGGGGTGAATTGGCAGGAAAACCCTGCAGCCCAAGTCGGCGGTACTGGCAGTCTCGGTAGAGGTGACCCGCTTCACCGCAGTGGTAGCAAAGCGGTCGTCGGTCGGGCATGCGCCATATGTCGGATTTACGCATGACGGGTCGAGTGTCTGCAAAATAAGGGACCACCTGTGCGGACTGCAGTGTGGCGTACGGGGTTGCGGCTGGTAGTGGGACTGGTGCAGGTGCGTTGTGTTCGAACGTGTCGGTATAAGCGGTGCGCTGGAAACCACTCACTGGGGATGGTGTCGTGGACGACGGAACGGTGCGTCTCAATACGTCTGCGTAGGTCACCCCTAGAGGTTCACTTGAAGTTGCGAACGCCTGAAGTGGTGCAGCAACCTGCGTTGGTGTCTCGCGGCGAGGTGTGCCGAGCGCATGCTGAACTTCGTCACGTATGATGGTGGCAATGCAATTCGTGGAAGGCTGCTGCTGCGCCTGGTTCAGCTGTTGCAGCTGTTGTAGCTCGTCGCGAACAACCGAACGTATCAGCTCGCGAAGCGCTCCCACGTCGGTCGGGAACGAGCCTAGCCCGGTGGTATAGGTAGCATTCACTTGCCGATCGTACTGGTTCCGCTGCTGCAGCGCCTTTTCCATGGCGACGGCTTCAGTGAGGAACTCCGCGACCGTTCTAGGCGGACTACGAATGAGTCCAGCGAAGAGCTGCTCTTTCACACCTCGCATCAAGTGTCGCAGCTTCTTGTCTTCCGGCATGGTTGGATCGGCGCGAGTGAACAGATGAACCATATCCTCCACGTATGTAGCCACACCTTCATTAGGCATCTGCATGCGGGACTGGAGGGCCCTTTCAGCGCGCTCTCGACGATCGAGACTCGAGTACGTTTCGCGGAGCCTGTGACAGAACTCATGCCACGACGTTAGGAGGCCCTTGCGGTTCTGGAACCATGTGCGAGCACCATCCAGAAGACTAAAGTACACATTCTTGAGCTTCGCTACTTCGTCCCACCCGTTGAAATCCGCTACGTACTCGTACTCAGCCAGCCAATCTTCCACATCTTCATAGAGGCCACCACGAAAGGGACTCGGAACACGTGGTTTTTGTAGCGTGTAATGAGTGGGTGCAGCTGCGGGTGCAGCGGTTGGAGCAGCGGCGGCTCCAGCGGTAGGGGAAGCGGTGACAGCAACAGTATTCTCCATACCAGTCGACGTACTTGTACTGTGAGGCACAAACTCGGGGGACAGTCCTCGAATCCTCCGACTGAAACGGTGTACCGGCGTAAGCTCTGGGTTTTGGGTCACGTTCCGGCTGCTAGAAGGAGTCTGTTGCATAGGTGAGGTTACCCAGCACCTCCACCATTAAAATGTCACGTTAAAGAGACAGGAGACGTTTTTAAGGCGTCCTCACAAAAGTCCGAAGAGCGGTCGGCTCAGCACAGCCAAAAACAGAACAATGGCACGAGGGGAACTGCCACTTCGTCTGCCTCTTTTGCGCTGGCAGATCAAGCGCGCGGCAATATATATAAGGAGATTTTGGCTCGTCATGGGCCAAACTCAGAACGTGAACTTGTGCAAATGAGGCTACATATACACATACGTACTCTCAACTTGCCTCTAAATTAATACTATTACTAAGTCATTAGCAATATTAGAGCTTTACTACTGTTTTGGATAAAAGATCAGGGTATGTGTGGGCTAAAAAAGCAATATTTCAGCTGCATTTGGCTGATTTCGAAAACAAGCTCCATGTGTGTGTGCGTGTGTGTGTGATATAGACTTACAGACAGATACGTAAAAGTGATAAAGTGCTTTTACGAAAAACAAACCAATCTGTGACGACTTATTTTCTCAGCTTTTGAAATAGTACACATGAATGTTATGCGGCAAGAATGACCCGAATGATTTGAATGAGCCTTCCCTTCTTTGTCATGTATGACGGCACTGCATGAATGTCTGTAAACTTGCGCATCGTTATGGCTATTATCAGTGGGCACGTTTCTGCTGTGCAGGTCTTATGAATGAATGACTTGATGAAACGTTTCTGCCAACCGCGTTTATTCGATCCTCTAAATTAGGGTCACAATAAACGTATTTTCATCCCACTAGCTAGCAAGCAAGCATCACCCTCAGATTTTGTGTCCTTGAACAGTGGTGACGTGTCAGTCCATTATTGCCAAATGAAATTAAGCTGGCCATTAACGCCACTTGAAGCAGCGTCTCATAATCATTTAAAATATTGCTTCTTAAATCTTGCTTCCATGGAGAATGCCCGAGCCACATTTTGTGTTGATCTGATATGGAAAATTTGGAGCTTTTGCTTGAATTCTTCGTATTTTTTTCATGATCAAAGTTTTTACCTGCCATGCACCCTTAACGTGGTTCTTTGCCTCTGTGTCGACTTTAGAAAACGTTCTGCACCGTCCGAACAACATCACCATGGTCGAAACATCACCGTCAAAGACTCGCATATCGTGGACTGCATCAAACACCCCTTGTGGAGCTACGATTGCGTATGACGTCGAGGTGTGTGCGGCATACGAAACATGCGTCACAGGCTCGAGTGGCAAGCTCTGCACGACGCATCGAACCCGAAATTCTTGGCTCGTCTTCAACAGTACTGTTAGCACCTCGTACTGCATTCAAGTCACTGCGATGGCGCAGCGTGGGGAGGATGCACTCACCAGTACGCCAACATTCAAGGAAATCGTTACACCTCTATTTGGTGAGTTTTGCGATCCCTTCGCCATGTTCTCAGGGGTGAAAAAATCATGTTAGCTGCCCACCTATTGCATTCAAATAACCTATACACATAAAATGACGCCTAGCGTTTTGCCAGAACATTATGCACTAAAACCAAGCCTTGGAGAACTATTGAATATTCATTCATATCTTATTTGTGTCATTGTAGCAAACAATCAGTTTCGGTTAGTCTCAGTTTCAATCTATTTACTTTCACATAAAATATACATGCTTACATAAATATACAGAAGGTGGTCATGGCTGAAGGGGGATCTCCTGCCAGGAAATTCGTTAAATGTGTACAAGTAAAATGAACTCTGTCAACAACGTGAAATGAGCTACATAAGTGAATGTAATACACACTAATCATCGGCAAATTTGAAAATTTATAAGTATGCTCCGATTATCCTTCTATATTGCTCTTTCACTGGTACCCTCATTTTTAATTGTATGATAATCAAGTATGTGTACGTGCGTTCTCTTTTTTTTGTCCCGTTTTGATAAATCCGTGCTTGAGATATGCCGTGCCAATAGCGTTAGAAGTATGCCCTGTTCGTTTAGGTGTGCAAGGTAGGTATTAGTAAAGTAATGTACGTTTTACTCTAAAGAGAGATGTCGCAATAAATGTTTGGTTTGTAGCTTCAGTTTCGCGCAACCATGCAACACTTTTTGGAGTTTTGTTACCTATATACTGAGTGCATTTTGTAATTATGTAGCAGCCGCAACCCATCTCCATGGTTATTTAACACCTGGAAAAAGAACCAGTTGAAAACAAGGGCCTTCACGTTTTATTCTGCGTGTTAATGGAAAAGAATGTTCACAGGACAGTGAGGATTCTGTTTCGTTTCTGCTTAAATTCAGGGTAGGACCGTCTTGTGGTCCAGGGTGCACGTTAAAGAACCCCAGGTGGTCCAAATTTCCGGAGTCCTCCACTACGGCGTCTCTCATAATCATATGGTGGTTTTGGGACGTTAAACACCACAAATCAATCAATAAATCTTGTGGTCCGTACAAGAAAGACACTGCAAAAAACGACATCCCTGTTTTTCTGATGGTGGTCAAAAGGAACTGTTCACTTGATATCCTTCCATCCTAATCTAGCTTGCACATAACTTGCATAGTTTTAAATTTCACGCTCCAATAGAGTAATTTAGAAGGGCGTTCAACAAAATAAAACATAACAATCGGAATGCTTACTCTGAGTAGCCCCTCAAATCGCACTTCTTTGTTCGCTAATTCAAGTATTTCCTCTTCATGGCTACTGTCAATGTTGTTCCGGGCAGAACGAAGCACCTTTTCTGCAACGCCTTTTCTACCCCGCACTTCCACTAAAATGTTACTGGTGAAAACGGCGTTGCATAGTATTATTACAAGTCATGCAGACACCTAACGCCAAGCGTGGACCTTTTTTTACGGAGAGGAGAATATCCTGATTTCTGGGCTGTTGCACGAGAGTACGGAAGCCAACGTCACAGCCCCGGCAGAGCATTTCTTTGGGGGGAGGGGGGGGGGGGTCAGGCGCGCTAACAGCAGCCCAGAGAGGGCTATGGTGGTGCCCAGAACGCCTTCAGTGAAAAGGTCTGTACAAGGCCAAACCAATTCCACGTGGATATCAGAGAGCGTCGTCTTCCTCTTTGCTGTCTTCCTCTTCATCTGCGCCAGCTCTTCGTATCATCGTGCAAGTGTTCACATCGTTGAAGATCATTTGTGACAGTAATTGCAGCACAATGGTAAACTATGGTATTGATCAATTTCGACAGCTGAATAACATCGCGCCAGGAATTCAGCCCCAGCATGCTTTCGAAATCAGCTGAAATAAAAAAACTCCTCGAAGTGTTTCTTCTATGATCCCCCTTCAGCCTTGGCGTATAGCCAGTGAAAAATATATTTGCTCAGTGTAGAGGCCAGGTTTGGAATTTTCAAGAAACCTTTCTTTACATTCATGCGAGCCTATACATGCCCACTTGTATTTAAACCCACGCGAAACTGGAAAAAAAAGTTTTTAAGAGGGAATTCAAATGCCATCCACCAAATTTGCGTACTGTAGCTCAACAATAACGTTTGTCCCAGTAAAAAAATCAGTGCATGGCGCTACATTTGCGTAACGTTCATCTGCCCAATTTTCAATGGAAATTTATTGCAGAGGTGCCAGACTCTAAATAAGTCTTGCTTCGCCGCCTGTTTTACGAAACAAGGCTTTGGCAACTTACGGTGTGACCATCACCAGTGCATGTGTCCGTAGCAATGCAACTTTCTTCATGAACGATGTGGTTCACCAGCGTGTATTAAAAAATTACATACGCCAGCAATCAAATTATCACTGATTTTTTTATGTCTTCCATTTACAGCTCCTGGAGACTTCGAGGTCACAGTGAGCGCCATCAATTCTTCGTCAGTTGTGTTGGCCGTCTCGGTACCGCTAATAAAGAATGGTGCCCTGGACCTTTGCTACCTAACCTACAACCACACCGGCGGTGGACGTAGCTTCAGCTGCAATGATCACCGGGGCAACGCATCGACTGTGAAGGTCGAAGGACTGAAGCCAAAAACAGATTACGCTTTCACGGTCACTTTTGTTAACAAACATGGTGGCCGGGAGGTCGGTACTCAGAAGATCATCTCCGTTACGACTTTTGGTGAGTGCCCCTAAGAAAAGAAGAAAAAAGGTGCATACGGTAGAGTGTTCAAAGTAAGGGTGATATGTGGCGCCGTGTGTTTCGTTCTTCATTTTTAGAGGACCTGCTTGTAGAGGGTTAGCCTTCGCTCAATTTGTGTGGCACATACGCTTCTGTTTACCCCCCTCCCTCAAGAAACAGCATAAAAAGAAAGAATGAACCTTGTAGTGAAAAAATTGTAAACGGGGGTTGTACGCTCGGGCCAATGTTTGAACATGTATAGTTGTCTTCTTCAAGGCCACAACTAGCCTTGAAGAACACCAGAAGGTTGTGGGTTTCATTCTGGCTACGCTGGTCACATTTAGATGGAGACGAAATGGTGGAGACTCGTGTACTGTGTGATGTTAGCACACAATAAACAACGCAAGATCGTTAAAATTTCCGGAGCTAACGACGATGACGCCTCTCATAATCAAATCTTGCTGTTGAGAGGCAAGACCTCACAGTATCGATAGACACAGCCTTCAAGTCCACTTGTCGAAATGCCGCTTGTGTACGAGAGCCCTGTGTAGGAATTTTTTCGTACGCTTCTGTTCGCACACAAATGTAGAGAAAACGCTATAAACATATACGCTGTATACAAAGAGCTCACCAACGTTCCGCTAAAAAAAATGTACAAAAGAGAATCGAATTGAACATTTGAAGATTTCAACAGAATTATGAGAAAACAATTTCCAAAGTAACTTATAAACTATTTCTTTCCACTTGGTCATACGACAGTTCCTTCATTGGAGTACCCCATTGCAATTATTGGGGACTTACAAAGGCTATTTTCTTCTTCAAAGTGAAATCGAATGCAATGATGGAAAATCATGTTGTAATGAATCTAAATAACAGACGCTCTGCTGGTAATGAAGAAGACGATGATGATCGGTGGCTGTGGTAGTAGCTCGCGCACGCCGCTCGCCATCAGCCAGACCTGCCTGATAAAGCACATTCTACCAAGCTGCGTCTGAACCTTTCTCGACGTACAACGCCTCTATTTTAAGTGGTGGAGGAGCCGGGGTTTCTATCAATCTGGAACTTCGCAATCGGACGCTACCCTCACCGTTCACCATGTCTGCTCCTGGCCCTTCTCAAGCTGCCTTACCAACGACAGTCTACTGTACTGGCGTGCCTCGGTAACGCGACCCACCAATTTTTCGCGGCAACGACGAACAAGACGTCGAGGACTGGCTCGTCGAGTACGAAATCGTAAGCGCTTCCAACAAGTGGAACGCCTGCGTCCAGCTCACAAACGTGCGCTTTTACCTCGCTGATGTGGCCAGCTTCTGGTTCAACAACCACGAAGGCGAAATCACCAACTGGTCCGCCTTCAAGACCACCATCACCGCGGTATTCGGTCGTCCCGCCGTGCGCCGGCTTCGCGCGGAACAGCGTCTCCGTAGTCAAGTCCAGCGCAGGGACGAGACCTTTACAAGTTACATTGAAGATGTCTTGTCTCTTTGCAAGCGCGTTGATGAATCTCTAACCGAACGCGACAAAATCAAGCACATCATCAAAGGAGTTGACGACGATACCTGCCAGATGATCGTCGCTAGGAATCCACAGACCGTTACCGATGTTGTCCAGCTCTGTCAGGATTATGACGAGTTGCGTAAGCAGCGTGTCTCGACGCGCAGGGCCGCTGAAGATACGGCTGAAGTTTCCGCCCTCGTGCACGAAGTCGCTGCTGATCACACCGTCTTTCTGCCCCACATCAAACAATTCATTCGTGAAGAAGTTGCGCGTCAGCTTTCTCTTGTGGCCGAAGCATCCGCGCCAGTGACCTCGTTAGACCCACGTCTACGCCAGGTCATTGAGACACAGGTCACGCAGGCACTGCCTCCATCCCCATCTGTCCCTAAGCCGCTGACCTACGCTGCCGTCGTTGCTAGACCCCCAGCCCCACCTGTCTCTGGCACATACCGGGGCACAGGGTCCTCCTACCCTACGACGCTGCCTACATACACGGCACCCCATCCCGTTTCGCCTCTGCACCTTCTGTCGTTAACCCATGGCGCACCTTGGATAATCAACCCATCTGTTTCGCATGCGGTTTCGTGGGACATATAGCACGCTACTGTCGCCATCGCAACTTCCAGTCTTCAGACCATGGGAATTCTGCGAATTACCAGGCTGCCCAGAATCCCCAGCGACCATCTTCTCCTATCACCGACTCATTGTCCCCACGACGCCCTGTCGATTCTCGCCGGTCATTACCACCCCATCGCCGATCTGTCTCCCCGATGCTTCGGCGCATGAGCCCCGCTCGAGAGGAAAACTGACAGCCGCAGTTCCGGAGGCAAGAATTGCGTCGTCGTCGAACTTTCTAAGACCTCCTTTTTGTCCGACCAACGAAATTGATGCGCTAATTTAAGGTGTTGCTGTACGTGCACTTGTCGACACAGGCGCCGTCGTTTCTGTAATTCGTGAAAAACTGTGTCGCGATTTGACAAAAGTTACAACGCCGCTTACGAATCTTGCTCTGCATACAGCCACCTCCCATTTCATCGTGCCGGCAGCTCAAGTGCACAGCACGCGTTCTTATTCAAGATGTTTGGTACGCCGTCAACTTTGTTGTTCTCCCACGTTCATCTTACGACGTCATACTAGGATGGAATTTCCTTTCTACCCATCAGGCCCCCGTCGACTGCGCTCGTGCTGAACTCACGTTGACGAATCCGTGCCTTGATATCGACCACCAAAGTCCCTCGAAAGTGTTTGCCGCAGCTGACGTCCGCATCGCGCCGTTGTCCGCCGTCCTAGTGCCTGTGTTTTCCCCTGCTGCCACTAACTCGACGCTCCTGTTCCAACCAACTATAGCTAGTGTGCAACACCGAACCATCGTCCTCCCGTTTGCCGTCCTCAACTTTTCCAATGGTTCGGCGGTACTTTATGCGTGTAACGTTTCTGCTTGTCCGTACATCCTGCTACGAGGCGAGTATCTGGGAAGCCTCGAGACTTTAAGTTGTATTTTCGAAGACCCGATCTATCCAGACAAGCCATTTTTACCGACTTGTGCCATTACACCCGCAACTGACGCTAATGAACCTATGGATGTATTCCGCAAGTCGATTGATTGCAACCTCACGCCTGGGCAGCAAGAACAGCTGATCAAGCTCCTGCAGCATTTTCGAGCTTCGTTTGACTACAATCAGCCTTCCTTAGGTCGAGCGTCATCTGTTGTTCACTGTATAGATACCGGTCAAGAGACGCCATTACGGCAGCGTCCATATCGTGTGTCAACTACCGATGCCGTAACATCAATGAACAGGTTGACGACATGCTGACACGTGGCATAATCGAACCATCAAGCAGTCCCTGGGCCTATCCAGTTGTGTTGGTGAAGAAGAAGGACGGATCCATCAGGTTTTGCGTGGACTACCGACGTCTCAACCGAATCACGCACAAGGATGTCTATCCGCTGCGACGCATTGACGATGCCTTGAACTGCCTACAGAGAGCCGAATTTTTCTCTTCTTTAGATATGCGCTCTGAATACTGGCAGGTATCCAAGGCAGAGGCCTATCGCGAAAAAACAGCTTTCATCACGTCCGACGGGCTTTACAAATTCACAGTCATGCCCTTCGGCCTCTGCAACGCGCCAGCTACTTTCGAGCGTATGATGGACTCTATCCTTCGAGGCCTCAAATGGAACGTTTGCCTTTGTTATTTAGATGACATTGTCGTCTTTTCAACTGATCTCGTAACCCATTTAACTCGCCTTGAGAAAGTCCTCGCGTGTATTTCTGCCGCAGGGCTGCAACTGAATCTGAAGAAGTGACATTTCGCCGCTCGAAAGCTTACGATCCTTGGCCACGTGGTTTCAAAAGACGGCATTCTTCCTGACCTTGCCAAACTTACAGCCGTTTCAGCGTTTCCCAAACCGACCACCATGAAAAAGCTCCGAAGCTTCATAGGCCTTTGCTCTTACTTCCGGCGCTTCGTCCGCAATTTCGCGACGATCATCGCTCCTTTGACCAAACTCCTCGCCGGCTCTCGAGACCTTTCAGCCTGGTCTGCCACCTGTGACGATTCTTTCAATGAACTGCGCCGCCTCCTCACGTCACCGCCTATTCTGCGACACTACGACCCATCGGCACCGACAGAGATCCACACCGACGCTAGTGGTGTCGGGCTAGGCGCTATTCTTGCACAGAAGAAAGACGGCTTCCAAGAGTACGTGGTTGCCTACGCAAGCCGAACTCTTAACAAAGCCGAAATCAACTATTCCGTCACTGAAAAGGAATGCCTCGCCATTATTTGGGCGATAGAAAAATTTCGACCTTACGTGCACGGGCGCCCTTTTGACGTCGTGACTGACCACCACGCCCTCTGCTGGTTGTTGTCACTGAAGGATCCAAGCGGTCGCCTCGCCCGAAGGGCATTACGCCTCCAAGAATATATTATTCGCGAGTTCTATCGCTCCGGCCGGAAACATTCGGACGCAGACGCCCTATCCCATTCGCCCCTACCCCCTGACCCGGACTGCTGCGTGATGGCATGTCTAACCTGTGATGCCACTGCCGTTACCATCGCCGACATGCCATCTGAGCAACGCAAGGACCCTTGGGTTGCTACGATTGTAGACATCCTGGCTGGGCGGACGGCTTCCCCCCCTTCTCGCACGTTGCGTCGGCAAGTCGAGCACTTCGCCATTCGCGACGACGTGCTGTACCGACGCAACTACGCACCCGGTGGACGTCAGTGGCTACTAGTGATTCCACGTCATCTACGATCCGAAATTCGTTCCACGTTTCATGAGGACCCCCAAAGTGGCCACGCAGGTTTCCTGAAGACTTATTCTCGCATACGTCTCCGATATTACTGGCGTGGCATGTACTGTTTTATACGACAATACGTTCAGGCCTGCTCGACGTGCCAGAGATGAAAAACTCCCCTTTATCACGCCAGCGGTACCTTGTTACCCTTACCATGCCCATCGCGACCATTCGACCGCGTCGGCATCGATATCTATGGTCCCCTTCCCAACTCTGCTGACGGTAACCACTGGATCATAGTTGCCGTCGACCATCTCACGCGGTATGCCGAAACTTCATCCCTTCCCTCGTCGACAGCAAAAGACGTCGCGACTTTCGTTCTTCACAACATCGTTTTACGTCATGGAGCACCTCGGTAGTTACTGAGTGATTGTGGTCGCGTATTCTTGTCAGACGTCATCACAGAATTGCTGCGTGAGTGCCACGTCGTTCACCGCACTACAAGCGCCTATCATCCCCAGACCAATGGAATGACAGAGCGCTTCAACCGCACCCTTGGTGACATGCTCTCTTTGTATATATCGTCAGACCACTCCAATTGGGACCGAGTGCTCCTGTTTATCACGTTCGCCTATAATACCGCCATTCAAAGCACTACTGGGTTCTCTCCTTTTTTCCTCCTTTACGGACGCGAACCTTCTTGCACTATGGACACCATTCTTTCGTACAAACCTAACTCCTCAGAGTCCACGACTTTGTCTCAAGCCACTACATACGCTGAAGAATGCCGCCAACTGGCAAGATCATTCATAACCCAAGACCAAGGACGCCAAAAGCACCACCATGACGCATCAAATACCACTACTTCCTACGATCCAGGTTCACTCGTCTGGCTGCATGTCCCTTCTGCTACACCTGGTCTTTCTACCAAGTTGGTCCCCAAGTATCACGGCCCATATCGTGTGCTACAAAAAAATGTCACCAGTGAATTACCTCATTGAACCACTGGAACCATCTTCTGAACAACGTCGTCGTGGCCAGGAAATTGTCCAAGTCTCGAGACTTAAGCCCTGCTACGACCCTCAAGTGTTTATTTGTCCATAGGTCGCCAGGGTGGCTCCTTATTTCGCGAGGAGTAATTGTAATGAATCTAAATAACGGACGCTCTGCTGGTAATGAAGAAGATATTATGATCGGTGGCTGTGGTAGTGGCTCGCGCACGCCGCTCGCCATTAGCCAGACCTGCCTGATAAAGCGCATTTTACCAAGCTGCGTCTGAACCTTTCTCGACGTACAACACCTCTATTTTAATGTACAAAATTGCCTATTATTCACTTTCAGTAGCTATTTAAGGCTAATATTTCACGGAAGAGCCACATATATATAGTTAAAATTGTGTCTTAGTGCGGACCAAAAGGAATATTCATTCGTGATCGAGATTGGTTCTTGTGAAATTTATTTATTTATTTTATACTGTCAGCCCCGTGCTTGGAGTCATTACAGAAGGGGTCTCATTTAATAGGTAATATTCACGCAATTAGGCAGTACTCAATAGAACACAAAAATAACAGAAGAATATTCAGCATCAGGAAAAGAAATAACAAACAGCAATGACTATACCAATTAAAAATTGAGAAAGAACATCTGGCGCCTGGCGTTCACGATTATCAATGAATAGAAAGCTGTATAACGCTTTTTTAGTGTTGACTGACGTCATTTCTTGAACAAGCAGATCAGGTAAGCTATTCCACAATTTCTATTGCGTCTGGAAAAAACAAGCAGCTGAAAGCATTGCAGCGTGTGAAAGAGGGCTGAAAAGCTCTGCTATTATTAAGGCCATCACATCACCTTCCAAGTGGCTGAAAATATAAATACTTGTCTTGTTTTGTTTACGCGCTTATGTTTTGAGTGCAATGAAAACATTTTTATGGGTATTGGTTGCGGTCGTAGAGTACGCATTTGTAAAACCGTTTATTGGTTGCTCGCGTAAAAATCTACCGGTTACTAAACCAACGGCTCATTTCACGGACTCCGAGTTTGAATGGCGCCCATTAGTGATATTCGGTACAAACAGCCTTCTTAGAGAGCACTTGAGCACATATCCCATTATAACGTCACTCTTCCATGCAAGATACTACGGCCTAGTGCAAAATAACCAAAAATGTGGAAATATAACATTTTGCCGAAAACCCTACAAAACTCCTCTGACCGAAAACTGCAGTATATTTATTGAGCTTCTAACGCATTACATAAACATGTTTCCTTTACTTGTAAATTAAGTTAGGTAGGAAAATAATAAAGGATACTTCCAGAATAAACTTTGTGGTGGGCAACATTAAGACTACTTTGTACAAGATTTTAAAGTTTCATACATGATGAAGAATATGTTCTATGCGGAATTGTTTTTAACTACCGTTTTTCTTGAAATAAATTACCATGAATTCTTTCTAGTTTGTCTGAGATATTTGCCAAAGTGATAGGCACGCTAAAGGTGCAATACGCCACTGTAACCTGTATAAACATTATTCTCACAAGCATTTTCTTTTTTTTTGTCTTTTTCTTCATAGCTCCATTGAAAGGTCACAACAACCCGACGGATAACGTGGAAATTTGGCTTGTTTTGGCCTTGATCGCTTTCATCCCGCTGAAGCCAGACAATCGGCCACGCAGACGGCGTAGCAGGCGAAGACGTTAGCACAGCAAGGAGTTGAAATGTAAACCTTTGTTTCTTAATGAGTCCTGAAATAAAAAAATCAACGTTTCGCAGTAGAACTTTTCTTGGCATTGAGAAAGAAAGTTTTTTCTAATAACAACAACATATTGAACAAGATTTCATACCGTGAACTAGCTTCTAAAGAAAAGCAGGTCAGCATGATTTCGTTGGCAAAAACGTGATTGCAGTGACAATAATTTATCAGGGCTAAAAATGACATCCAGAGTCATTTTTAGCTTAATGGTGGTTGTAAATGCTTGTGTTTTTTTTTCTAGATTCGCTCGCTGGCGTTACTACTGAATTTAGTAATCTCATTTCAGATCACAAAGGCATACTCAAGTTGGAAAAGAGGTATTGCACTGTACAATTTGTGAAAGGCAGCAAAAGAACTGAATTCTCGTGATATTCAACAAGCACAGCCGAAAGAACAAATGCCTCGCATGGCAGCACGCTGTTGGGACTCCGGGTCCTGCCGGTCTCGTTTTCGGTAGCTGGCCCCGTAGCAGGATCCATCGTCCGACAATTCAGCGAAAAAAAGCGTCCGAACGAACGACAGAGATTTATTTACATGAGGAGAAGTGATCAACTGATCCAAAGAGAGAAGAGAGAGATAGATACAAGACGTCTTCGGCATTTTATAGCGCCGCGTTGCCAACACTGGGCGCATTGTCCGCATCGTCAGCCAATACGGTGGCCCCGGCACCTCGGACACGAGGGAGGGGGAAACACACCTCACAACACATGGAGTGGCACAACCTAACACAATGTCCATTGTTACAAGCTGCCACTCTAGCGTCGCCAGCGCGAAGTCGGCGACGGGAATGACAGCAGGTTGGTTCGTTCCGTACGCAAGCAGAGACAGTGAAGAGATCAGAGACGTGAGAAAACAAAACAACCTTTGCTCTAGTGATATTGCAGCACACGGGATCTAATACAACACTTTAATACAACTAACAACATACATTGACACTTGATACAACTAAAGAGATATATAACAGAAACAATAAATCAGCTTACGAGAGAGAACTATCACAAACTACACAAACTAACAATAATCGACTACGGAGGAGAAAGTTCGAAGATATAAACAGGTGAAGGCATACGTGTGATGACCGGCAGCGTTGTGTCCCCGACGATCGGATGCGAGAAGCCGAAGAGAGTTCTGGCACGACTGCGATGTCGGCGGTGTTGCAACGCTGGTGGCTCCGGGAGGCTAGTGCTTGCAGGTGACTTCGAGCAGGTTGAGCTAACTCGAGGCGAAGTCCCGATGTCTACGTTGCAGACGTTAATATCGCGTCACAGCTAGACGAACGGCTAAGTTTAGGTGGCCAGCCGATACAGAGCCACACTAAAAACTTCTAGAAGAGATGCTTGTTGATCTATTTCTACACCATCTTGGTCAGCGACTAGTCTGCCTAGCAGGGCAAAATCCTGCGCTTAAATCCCCCTCGTGTCTCCTCGCTCTCTTCCTTGGGGACAAGAGACCTCTACCTGGGTCCAATCATGCGCGTTTAATTGAGGGGAAACTCCGCCCCAAAAATATTTTGACCCCACCCCTTTTTAATTGGGAGAGGGCCCGCAACTAGCGAGAGTGACAACCTGTCGGGTTGTTGCCATACGGCTTGGCCACCAGAGCGTTTCCCACGCTTTTCTTCGTGGGAACGGTCAACCACTTAGCTCTCAGCCGGGCGTCTTGTAGTCTAATCCTTGTACGGGGTATACCGCGGCCTTCTACGACCTTGCAGACGTCGCCACGGTTACAAAAGGATTAACTGTCGGCGGCGACGTTCTAAGGAGAGCACCCCCATTTTGCACTTATCGGTTCCCTTTCATGTGCCGCCGTTTCTGACGGTCCGTCGGGAAGTACGGCGCCAGTTAATTGCCGTGACGCGGTGTCGCCGAAAATAGCCGTCCGTGACATTGCCCCCCACTTTCAGAATGTTATTCATAACATTTGTTCGCACGGAGGGGAATTTTTCCGACAACAAGGAACAAAACACCACCAACAAGGGAGACATGAGGACTGTCCCTCTCATACACAACGTAAGTAGGCAGAGTGCATCAAAGTAACAACAAAATGAAAAACAAACAATGGTTAGAGTACCAGCTTCATTTACACGCAACAATATCAATGCGCCATACAAACAAGAAGAGGAAATAGCCGTGTACGGCAGCCATCAATACAGAATACACTGCACGAATGTATACTACAAAATAAAACGGAACAGGTGCGCTCCTCAACTGTAGTGCAATCCTTAAATGTGCATTACAGCAAGTAAAAACAACCAATGCACCAAGCAAAAAGAAAATAACTCAAAATACACTTCTTATACAATGAAATACGTGCATACAGACAGAAAACAACCGACGGAAGGAAAAAAAAACAACATGTTCATAGACCTCAAGAACTATATCCGGCTCAAGTAATCGGCTCCCACGTTTTCGCTGCCCTTAATATGCGTAATGGTGAACTGGTACTCTTGGAGTAGTAAACTCCATCGAAGTACTCGAGCATTCAGCTGTTTTGCCCGTTGGATATAACTCAGAGGCTGGTGGTCTGTCTGGACACAAAAATGTACACCATATAAGTACATGGAGAATTTCTGAATTCCCCATACCAACGCGAGACATTCGCGTTCGATGGTACTATAGGAAGCCTCCCGTGGAAGCAGCTTTCGGCTGGCATAAGCTGTGGGGTGGAGCTTGCCTTCGTGGGCCTGCATGAGCACGGCTCCGAGACTTGTGTCCGATGCGTCCGTTCGAAGTACGAATGGTTGGTGCAAATCTGGTAGCCGAAGTATCGGCTCCGTCGAGACATGTTGTTTGAGACTTCGAAAAGCCTCCTCGTGGGCTGCTGTCCATTTCACCGAGTTATCTTCGCCCTTCCGAGTTAAATCTGTAAGGGGAGCGCTGACTTCTGCGTAATTCGGGATAAATTCCCGATAGTACCCGGTCAAACCGAGGAAGGCGCGCACTTGTCGCTTGGTTGAAGGACGTGGTGCAGCTTCGATCTTGTCGAGTGTTTTCCCCAGTGGTTGCAATCTGCCCCTGCCAACTCGGTGTCCCAAGAAGTCGATTTCTTCTACCCCAAGTTCGCATTTACTGGGGCGCACTGTAAGCCCAGCCCTCTGTATGCGCTCAAAAAGCAGTCCCAGGGACCTCAAGTGCTCTTCCCATGTCTCGGTGGCTACCAGTACATCATCGTAGTAGTGGTACACACCGGGTATACCTTCTGCAATCTTCCGCATCAACTTAGCAAATACAGCAGGCGCTGTCTTGATGCCGAATGGCATGAAGCGGAACTGATATAGTCCCGATGTCGTCGAGAAGGCCGTCTTCGCTTTGGACTCTTCGGTCAGCGGGATCTGCCAATAGCCCTTCACGAAGTCGAGCTTCGAGAAATACTTCTTCTTTCCCACTGTAGCAAACACCGCGTCAGTTCTTGTCATAGGTTCGGAGTCGGCCACCAGAACGTTGTTCAGGCGTCGAAAATCGATACACAGTCGATTTGTCCCGTCGGGTTTCTTTATTAAAATGACTGGCGAATTATAAGGGGACTCTGATTTCTCAATGATGCCGAGCTTCTCCATTTCCCGTACTTCTTTCTCTACACCTTCCCGCGTTGCAAAGGGAAGAGGGTATTGTTTCACGTGGACGGGGTTACTCGTGGTGAGTTCGAGGTTGCAGTGGACCCAGTCAGTTTTGCCCGGGACATCCGAGAAAATACGAGCGTGTTCCCTGACAATTCTTTGCAGCTGTCCGATCTGCTGAGCGTCCAGTTTGTCGGAGAGCTTCACGTCTTCTTCCCCTTCTACTTTCAGCCAGTCAGGGGTTGGAATATTCTCGTCCTCGCTTGATTCCACAACACCAAATGTCACGTTGCACACCTTGGTGGAGGGGCTGTCCCTCTCCTCGTATCTTTTTAGTAAGTTGGCGTGGAAGATTTTTCTGCCGCCAGCCGTGTCTATGACGTAGTCAGCTTCACCTTTCTTTTCCCGGACTTCAAACGGGCCCTTCCATTGCAGCAGCAGCTTGTTCGTGTCGGTTGGAAGTAAAATCAGTACCTTGTCTCCGGGGTTGAAACTCCGCTCCTTCGCCTTTCGATTGTACAGCTTCGTGTACCGTGCTCCGGCTTTTTCCAACTCCTCGTGTGCCAGGCGGCACGTTTCCTCCAAACGGTTCCGAAGGTCAAAGACATGCTGGTACGTCGTCTTAGCTTCTTCAGTCAAGTCGGCGTTCGTCCACAACTCCTTCAGTATCGCCAAGGGTCCCCTCACATGGCGGCCGTAGAGAAGCTCGAAGGGTGAAAACCCCATACTGGCCTGCGGAACCTCCCTATAGGCAAAGAGGAGAGGTGCCAGGTAGCGGTCCCAATCTCTCGGTTTTTCGGCGCACATGCGCTTCAACATTAATTTTAAGGTGCCGTTGAATTTTTCCACCAAGCCATTCGCCATGGGGTGATATGGGGTGGTGTGGAGCTGGCGCACGGAAAGGAGCCGCGCTACTTCCTTCATCAGGTCCGATGTGAAGTTCGTGCCACGGTCGCTCAGTACCTCGCGGGGGACGCCAAATCGGGAGAACATCTCGACCAGGGCTTCGGCCACTCGCTCAGTTTCGATACTCGGGAGCGCCACTGCGTCTGGATACCGGGTGGCATAATCCATCAAAGTCAAAATGTATCGGTTCCCATGCTTTGAGGGCGGGTGAATCGGTCCCACTATATCGATCGCCACTCGCTTGAACGGGGTGTCAATTATGGGTGCCCTCCCCAGTGGAACATGTGGTACACGACCCTTTGGTACGGTGCGCTGACAAATGTCACATGAGGCGACGAACCTTTTCACGTCAGCTGTGATGCCTGGCCAAAAGAACTCCTCCGAGATCCGGTCCTTGGTTTTCTGCGTGCCCAAGTGTCCTGCCATTATACCATCGTGTGCCGTTTTAAGCACAGCTTCTCGGTGGCAGCGCGGAACGACTAATTGACGTACAAGCCGTCCGTTGGCCTCTGTGTACTGTCGGTACAGCAGTCCCTGTTCTTGTTTGTACTCGATGATTC